AGCTACTTAGGAGGCTGACACCTGAGGATCACAGTTTAAATCCAGTCCAGGCAGGAAAATCTGTGAGAATCTCATCTCCAATTAACCACCAGAAAACTGGAAATGGAGCTGTGATTCAAAGTGATATAGAGCTAGCTTAAGTGAAAGAACTCATAGACAGCACTCGGGCCCTGAGCTCAAGCCCCTAACTGAACAAAAAAAAAAAAGTAAAAGTTTAAGGAAGTTAAAAAAACTGTGATACCACGTGTATAGGAAAGACACACATAGAGACAGGCATGGTGCACAGCGCAAGCCAGCATGTTCATACAATTGGTACAAAAATAGTTTAAGGTTCCGTTATTTATAAAATGGAACTTCCAAGTGATAAAGAACTCCCATCAACTTCTTTCACAGTTATCAAGTAAAAGAGTATTGCTTGAAGTCTTATTACTTATTTTGACCAAGGGGAGAAGGCTTACACTGCAGATTTCCAAAATTCACTAAAAATTATATAGTAGCTGGGCACCGGTGGCTCACGCCTGTAATCCCAGTTACTTAGGAGGCTGGGACTTGAGGATCATGATTCAAAGCCTGCTGAGGTAGGAAAAGTCTGTGAGACTCTTATCTCCAATTAACTACCATAAAACCAGAAGTGGTACTGTGGCTCAAAGTGGAAGAGCACTAGCCATGAAGAGCTGAGGGACAGTGCCCAGGCCCAGGATTCAAGCTCCACAACTGACAAAAAATAAAAATAAATAGTAATTGCCTAGTACAATATACACATTTCTAACTGAACAAAATTCCTTGCAGTAACAAATAGATATGTTTTTTTTCTCTCTATTCAACTGTATTACTCAGAATTAAAATCCAGCTCATAAAGAGTAAGTGTCAGGTTCAGGGATTATAATTAATAAAACTAGCATACAAATCCAGTAGTTCAAACAACTTACATTCCTTTGCTACCATGATATGATTCCTAAAGGATGGAAGAAAGTTTTGAAAATTAACAGTAACATTTATATTATCATGCATTTTTATGGTTACTCTATCCATAGGGCTAATAGTAATATGGCAAAAACAAAAACCCAATCCCATACAACTATCAACTAAAAAGGAAAATAAAATTTACATACTATTAAATTTTAAATACTAAAGATTTAGGGGCTGGGTTTGATTCCTCAGTACCACATAAACAGAAAAAGCCCAAAGTGGTACTGTGGCTCAAGCTGCAGAGTGCTAACCTTAAGCAAACGAAGCTCAGGGACAGTGCGCAGTCCCTGAGTTCAAGCCCCATCACTGGCAAAAAGAAAAAAAATACTAATAATACATAAAAACTTAATAGTACTTAAAATATCATTAAATATATGAAAGGTATATGAAACACTAGGAGCCAATACTGCTTTGAAATATAAGCCACATTCTATACGATACAATAAATTTTCTTTAGTTTTACTAAAGACTATTCTTAATTTATCTCTGATAATGTAAAATCATGTATTGCTTTCTCCAAAAAATGTACAAACAAAATATTGTATCTAATTTCAATAGATAAAAGGTCCTTTCTCTAAAAATCTAGCTTCTCTATGTTAGTCTTAACTCACCAATACTGCTAAGATAGAATGTCCAGGTTTTTCAAGCATTACTTTGGGAAAGTCATTCTTTACTACTAAGCCTACCTAATGTGTTTTTGTAGGATTTCTTTCTGGTGTTGGTGGTGCTAGTCCAGGGACTTGAATTCAGGGCACTGTCTTTGAGCTTTTTTTGCTCAAGGCTAGCACTGTTCCACTTCTAGCTTCACTTCCAGCATTTCTGATAGCTAACTGAAGCTAGCATCCAATCATGATGCTCAGATCTCAGCCTTCTGAGAAGCTAGGATTACAGAGACATGAGCCACTGATGCCCTGACTGTTTTGTTAGTTTTTGATACAAGATCTCACTGTCAAGGTTGATCCTGCAATGTAACTCTTCTATTTCCATCTCTTGAGTACCAGGATTATAGAGATGCACCATCACATTTGGCTTAGCATATATAATCTTTATAAGCAAGATTTTAATATTTTTCTTTAAAAATTTAAAAGTATATTTACAGCTCTCCTTTCCTTCTACAGTAACCAATTAGGATAGCATATAAAAGACTAAAGAGGAATGCCCAAGATGGCATGTTAGAAACAATTAGTACTCTCCAGCTTCTCAGTCTGGAATCAAAACCACGAGAGAACAGTCCTCAGTAAGGTAAGTGACTAAGAGAAGTTCAATACTGGACAGAGTTGAGATCCAGAAATTCTGGGTATTAAAACAGAGAATAAGAACACATTATACAATGGCAGAAGGTAGAAGTAGAAGGAGGAGAACCTCAATGCAAAAAATTAGCAATGGAAAATAGGTACAGAACAAAAAAGCAGCTTAAACATGCATGGTTCTCCTAAGATCAGCATAGCAACTAGTACTGGAAAAGAACTGCATTTCCCAACCCATAATTGTGAGATAGCTGCCCTTAGGCTGGCTACTTTGGAAACTCAACTACCTACATTTTCATTTTCCCTGGAATGCTCAACAAATAAAGCCACACAGTCTTAACTGGCAGTTATACTGAAGTCCAGGTTGATGCAAAAAGAACACAACTAAAACAAACTGACTAAAAACATCTGTGGTGGAATTCTGGTAAGAGACATGACAGGGAGTAGAAGTCACTTTTCCCTTGAGACTGGTGGTTAACTGGTCAGTTTGGAAGCCTAAGGAAGCACACATGACTACATGTACTTGGAAGGCCAGTTTTAGGTACCAGATTTTAGGCTTGCTTCTCCTCCAGCCAGCCAGGGCCATTTGCTGTCCCACCCTGAGGGTGGGCTTCACATAGGCTACCTAACATCTAGGCATGCAGAAGAACTAGATGGTACACACCTGTAATTCCAGCAATGAGGCTGAGGCTGAGGCAGGAGGACAAAGAGTTCAAGGCTAGCTAAGCTACACAGCAAGCACCTGTCTCAAAACAACAATGAAACTGTTTTTCTTCTTTCTCATGAATGTACTTTATCATATATGGTACTGTCCCATAAACAACACAGTAAGCATTTTGAAATTTTCCTTCAGGGTTGGAGGCCTGGCTCAGTTGGTAAAGCACTAGCCCATGAGCAAAAGCAGCCACATGTAGCAAGTACTTTTTTCTTAGATCAATAATTTCCCCCTCTCTGGCCCCTTGGTAAGGTGAACTTTAAATGTTACAAGAGCACCACACTGCTGGGAGCCAGTGGCTCACACCTGTAATCCTAGCTACTCAGGAGGCTGAGAACTGAGGATTGCGGTTCAAAGGCAGCCTGGCCAGGAACGTCTGTGGACACTTATCTCCAATAAACCACCAGAAAACTGGAAGTGGCACTGTGGCTCAAGTGGTAGAGCACTCACCTTGAGCTGCAGAGCTGAGGGACAGTGCCTAGGCCTAGAGTTCAAGCCGCATGACTGACCAAAAAACAAAGAAAGAACACCACACTTATCTTCATATTTGAGAAAAGTGTATTTTGTTTTGAAAATAAAAGCCTTTTAAACAAGTACTTTCCTTCAGTATATAATTAGTGAGTTTTTAAAAATGGTTTAGTAAAAATTTCCTTATAGGACTAAGGAAGAAGGTATTACAAATCCCACTACTTGTTGAAGAGGGAAAATGTTATTATCATGAACAATCTAAACACTGATTAACGTATGTTTTCGTGCATGTTTTTGTTAGGTATTCAAATTTTCCAAGATAAAAAAAAATTTGTATATAAATCTGGCTCACATTTATAGTCTAGACTAACAGGCAGGAAAAAAAAATGCCTAAAACTATCATTAATTAAACCCTAAGCATATTTATTTAGGGCAGAGAGTAGTTCAGGACAGGCCACAATCAGAAAAGTATATTTCTATAACTTGAAAAAAACTTTTTCCAAAGAGATCCTAACACTACTGTCAAACCAACTCATATGTTAACTGTATGTTAGCTATTAATTTTAAATGAAAAAACACACATAACTCTGGTCCAGGTGCTTGAACTCAGGGCCTGGTCATTGACTGCATTTTTTCATTCAAGACTGGTACTCTACCACTTAAGCCATAGCACCATTTCTAACCTTTTGGTTGTTAATTGGAGATAACAGTCTCATAGACTTTCCTGCCCAGGTTGGTTTCAAACCATGATTCTTAGATCTCAACCTCCTAACTAGGTAGCATTAAAGACTGAGCCACCTGTGCCTGACTTAAAATCTTCCTTACTTACTAAAAAATTTTATGAAAACACATTCATGCCAAGATGATTTAATATCCACATTTTAATTTTCTTTCACAACAATAGTCTACAATGGCAATTTTTTATTCCTAAAACTGTCTACTAGCATAATATAACAAAAATGATTATTACTCTCAAAAAAAGCAAAATGTTAAGCAGATATTTCATTATATGCAGTAAAATTTCTAAAATAAAAAACAAAACTATCCTAGAGTCTTAGAATTATTTACAAGATTACAGCTTGCCATAAAGTACCAATATAATGGCATTTAAGTTTTCCTGAACTCTAGGAACCCAGGATGGATTAAAAAGAAAACAAAATGCAATAAAATGAAGTAAGACAAATTTTTAAAAGCTTATTAATGATGTTTAAAATTTAATAATAAATTAATTCAAATATTAATATTCTTTCTCTTTAAAAATACATCTTATTCCTTTCATTCCAATAATTTCCATCAGTATATATTATAACATAAGTGCACTTTAAATTTAAAAATGTTACACATTTTTTCCAGGAAAACGCAACACAAAGAAGTTATGCACATGTACACACATGTATATTAAAGGCCATACATTAAATTTTTTTTTTTTAGGGGACCTAATTTTACTTGTTCAGCAGTATCTTCTCTTACCAAGTGCCACAGCTTGATTAGGCTATATTGGTGCTTATTTCCTTTACTACTAGGTTATAACCAATATTTAACTTATATAATAAAAGGAAAGAAATATAATCATCTTTACCTGATATTTTAAAACGTAGGTAGGTTAGTATGAGTTAGCATGTATTACATGCATTTACTGAAGAAGTAAAATAAAATCTCTAGATTACACTGAAATCTTGGAAAACAAAGTATAATTTTAAAAGATTCTCACCTGTTTGAACATCAATAACCATCTGATGGCCTCCTCTCATTCCTGGTCGGTTATCTTCTCCATCACCTGAAGCAAAACAGTATTTTCTCTTGCAAGAGTAATAAATAACTAAGCATGGAGAGTAACTTCAATCTTATGGTTAAAAAAAAAAGAAAAACTAAAAATATTCACTTGTTCTTTCAAATTTCATAAAGGAATTTCTTTTAAACTAAATAAAGAATTTCATAAAAGAAACATTACATCTTAAACTTTTGTTAAAAATAATTATCTTTTTCCTTCTTTCAATTGCTTTCAGGCAATTAATGCAATTCAAAGCTACTTTTTCTTTTTTTTGTGCCAGACCTGTGCTTGAAATCAAGGATTAGATGCTGTCCCTGAGCTTTTGTACCTAAGGCTAGTACTCTATACTACTTTGGTGGTTAATTGGACATTTCTTGTTCTGGATGACTTTGAACTACAATCTCCAGATCTCAATCTTCTGAGTATCTAGAATTATAAACACAAGCCACCAGCATCTGGCCTTTTTTGTTGTTAATGAACAGTAAGTTCAGTAAAAACTTCAGAATAAAACACTGAAGCTGACATTTCAAACAAAGATAAAAAACACCAAGTAAGGTCTACTATCTATTCTTGACATAAACTTTTATATACTGAGTAGTTTTAAGGTTCATAAATCTGGCAGTTGAAAACTAAAATGTTATGAAGTCTTACATTAATGGTAATTTCCTTACTGTATTTCTTTAGCCATCTTTCAGAAATAACCTATCACATATCATTTATCAACTATTTACTTGAGTACTGAAAAAAAAATTCAAGATTTACTTCACTTTAATTTTTATTTATACACAGAGCTTAACAGGCAGGTTTAAATATAATCAGAAGTTTTTTCAAACTTAAAGGATAAAACTTTAATGTTTTATTATTATTTTTATTTCATCCATTTTTTTCAGGCAGCTTCTCAGTTTCAGCCCAACTGGCCTCAAGCTCTTAATCCTCCTGCCTTAGCTAAGTGCTAGAATAACAGTTATGCATGGCTGATATATAGCTTTTATACAAAATCTTATATAAATGAAGAAATAACTTTATTTTAATGGTTCAAAAGTTATAGGATTTTGACCATATTTCATGTGGTCAAAAACCAAAAAGTCGAAAGTTTTCTTTATGAATCTTTCACCAGCTGAAACCTATCACTTGGGCTAATAAGCTTCTCAGTTTCTTCTATGAAAAACAGGCAACATCCAACTTTTTATTCACGAGAAAAAATGCCCCTTTTTTTTGGTATCAGGATACTTTTTGAGAAATTTTGCCACTGTTCAACATCATACAACTGTATTTATACAAAGTTAGCTAATACAACTTAGCTAGCTATGTGTTAAACTTTATTGCCCTCAGGCTACAGAACTCTTAAAAATCTGTTGTTTTAAATGTACATAAATGCAAAAAAATTTCAATAAAATTTCCTAAATTAAAGAATTCAATCAAGCAGAAAAGGTCAGATAAGTTGATGTTAGGGAAATGAACCCTAAGATATATATTCAAATGTTTTTTTCTTTCCTGCGATTGTTTCTAACACATAAGATTATTTCTTTGTTGCTTTGTATGTCCCTCCCCAATTGTATAACCCCTGCTTTCACTGTATTTGATGTCGGTATAATTTGTGGAGGGGAAAGGAAAAAACAAATCGTTTAAATAGGGATACAGGTGGACCCATCGCAACAACGAGATGTACAAGTCGTTATGTCGAAAAACAAATATTATAACTTTGGTGGGGTGGGGGGAGGAGGTTTGGGGGGGGAGTTGGGGGAGGATTGGAAGGGATGGGAAGGGGAAACAAATGAGGAGGCTATAATGCTTGATAAGAAATGTACTCATTATCTTGCCCATGTAATTGTAACCCCTCTGTACAGTATTTTCACAATAAAAACTTATTTAAATAAAAAGAAAAATAAGGCCAAAAAAAAAAAGAATTGAAGTTCATGGAACCATTATCATTCACCACAAGACATACCCCCACATCTTCTCATTTTTACTGTGTATGGTAGCTAAATCCTTTTCTTTTCTCATAGTTAGATACAGCTCCTTATCACTTAAGCTTTGTACTTCTCTTCCTATCTACTGCCACATTCAAAAACAGACTAAGAGGCCAGGAACTGGTAGCTCACACCTGAAATCCTAGTAACTCAGGAAGCTGAAATCTAAAGAATTTGAAACCAGCAGGGGCAATAGTGCATGAGACTTTTATCTCTGACTTGCCAGCAAAATACTGGATGAGAGCTCGCCAATTAGTCAGTAAAATACCTTAGTGGAACTGTGGCTCCAGTGTTTAAGAGTGGCAATCTTGAGTGAAAATGACAAGAGAGAGCTGGAGGCCCAGAGTTCAAGTCCCAGAATTGGTATTTAAAAAAAAAAAAAATTAAAAAAAAAGGCAGGTGCTGGTGGCTTATTCTTATAAGAGGCTACTCAAGAGGCTGAAATCTGAGGATCTCAGTTCAAAGCCAGTCCAGTAAAGAAAGCTGAAAGACTCTCATGCCCAGTTAACTACCAAAAAAAAACCCAAGTGGAGCTGTGGCACAAATGTTAGAGCTCCAGCCTTGAGAAAAAAGTTCAGAGAAGGCACACAGTATCTAAGTTGAAAACCCAGTGTCAGTACAAATAATAATTCTTTTTTTAAATCAAGAATACACTTTAGTATTGTCACTGTATTTGTATTTTACAAATTAAATCTATGTTTGCAAATACCTGTCTTTAAAGCAATTTAACAAAATTATATAAGTTCAAAAGCACTTTTTTCTATGCTTATCCAATGCTAATGCCTTCAAGGATAAACTCCCACAACTAAAAAAGGCTTTGCTAATATATGCAGATTGCAAGGAAAAAAATCTGAATATCTAGAGGACTTTCCTTTAAGGAAAGTAGGTACATTTAAATATTTCTACAGTATTACTGTATATTAACTATATAGCAAAGTAGTAGGTACAGAAGACAATAACTTCCCTGCTGAAAATAACAGATTAATGAAGAAAACTAAACTGTGAATCATAATTGAGTTTTGATAACAGTTCCTATTAAAAGCAAATCCATGTAGGATCAACATGTTAAAGAAGGAAGCCTAAGTCCCAATACTAAAGCTCCAAACTCACTATGAACCTCAATATAAATGCCTTCGATGACTTAAATCATACCAAATTCTTATTAAAATTACTAAAACAACTTTTATTGATATTTGGTTATAAAGAACAGTTTGCCCTCCATTTTTTCTCAGAGGCTCAGTAACGGTTAGTGAGTAATTTTAAAGAACATAATGTTTTACAGGAATACATTACATTGCAATACGGCCTATAATTTCACATGGGGATCACTATAGAAATAAGTTATAATGGTATTCTAATGATATTCTATGTAAACAAAGAACAAACAATTGATAACTTTGTCAGGCCTTCTGTCATAGAAATAAATTAAGACTATAAAAGATAATTGAAATATGACAAACTAGGGCTGTGGGTATAACTCAATGGTAATGTTGGTAGTGTTGGACTAACCTAAGACACTGAGGTTCAATCCCCAGCAGGGGAAATGAATTATATATTACAATTAGTTTTGGTATCCAGTTAAGGAAACTATATTGGCTTTGAAACCTGTTCTTTAGTAATAGAGTATTATAACATTTCAGCTATCTTGAGAAAATTGAAAACTAAGACACTAAACAAAGAATATCACAATCCAGAAGGTATGACTTACCTTTGGTGCTTTTGGGAATGATTTGACTCCATCGTGGTTTGTATTCTTGTTGACTGATATACTGATTGAACAAGCCATCTGCAAATATCAAAGTATGAAAAAGAATTACATCTTTGTTAGACATTTTATTATAGCAAAAATAAGATTAAAACATAAATTTACATTGAGAAATTACTAACGTGTTACTCACATATACTCATGCAATGTTACTCATATAATAGCACATTTTCACTAAATATGCACCATATCACTTTGCATTCCTATCAACCAAAATATAAATAGTAGTGTTGGCTGACACAGTCATGTAAACTGCATTGGTGGCAGCTCATATTAAACTTACATTTCCCATCATTACTGTACTTATTAGATATAAAGACATTACTATACTTAATGGACACTTATGTGACATTATTAGAAAGTTTAAACAAAGAACCTGAAAGAAGGAAATGGGAGGAGAAAAAGTTAGAAGTCAAACAGTAGAAGTTAAAGCTTCAAAACAGTAGCAGCAGAAATATGAATAAATATTTTATTACATTGAAGCAAGACCTAATAACTTTTTTTCCCCTTTTGGTCAGTCATGGAATTCAGGGCCTGGGAGCTGTCCTTGAGCTGTTTTGCAAGACTAGCACTCTAACACTTGGAGCCACAACTCCACTTTCAGTTTTCTGGAGGTTAATTGGAGGTAAGAATTTCATGGTCTTTCCCACCTGGGCTGCTTCAAACCTTGATCCTCAGATCTCAGCCTCCTGAATAACTAGGATTTCAGGCATAAGCTACCAGCACTCAGCAATAGTTTGTTTGTTTGTTTGTTTTTGGGGGGGGGATGGGAGTCAGTTGTGGGGCTTGAACTATTCCTCAGCTCTTAACTCAAGGCGAGCGCTCTACTGCTTGAGCCACAGCACCACTTCCAGTTTTCTACTGGTTTATTGGAGGTAAGAGTCTCACGAACTTTCCTTGCCCAGGCTGGCTTTGAACCGTGATCCTCAGATCTTAGCCTCCGCAGTAGCTAGGATTACAGGTGTGAGCCACTGGTACCCCGGCTGTTTTTTCCCCCCATTTTGGTCTTGGGTCTTGAACCCAAGGCCTAGGACCTGTCCTTGAGTTTTTTTGCTCAAGGTTAGCATTCTATCACTTAAGCTACAGCTCCATTTTCAGCTTTTTGGTGATTTATTAGAGCTAAAAATTTCACACTTTCCTGCCCAAGCAGGATTTGAACCTTTGAATACAAA